TAAACTCAATCCCCCTGCCAATGAAAGCCAAAACACCATACGCCTTCTTTACAGCCCTATCAACTTGGGTAGCAACTTTGAGGGATCTATGGACGTGGACCCCAAGATCCCTCTGTTCCTCCACAATGCCAAGAATCCTGCCATTAACCCTGTATTCTGCATTTAAATTCGACCTTCCAAAATGAATCACTTCACACTTTTCTGGGTTGAATTCCATCTGCCACTTCTTTGCTCAGCTCTGCATCCCACCAATGTCCCGTTACAACCTACAACAGCCCTCCACGCTCCACCAACCTTCGTATCATCGGCAAACTTAATAACCCACCCTTCCATTTCCTCATCCAAGTCATTTATAAAGATCACAAAGAGCAGAGGTCCCAGAACAGATCCCTGTGGAGCACCACTGGTCACTGAGCTCCAGGCTGAATACTTTCCATCTACTACCACCCTTTGTCTTCTATTAGACAGCCACTTTTGTATCCAGACAGCCAAATTTCCCTGAATCCCATGCCTCCTTACTTTCTGAATGAGCCTACCACTACCTTATGGAACCTTATCAAATGCCTTGCGAAAATCCATATACACCACATCCACTGCTCCATCTTCAGCGATGTGTTTTGTCACATCCTCAAAGAATTCAGTAAACTTGTCAGACATGACCTGCCCCTCACAAAGCCATGCTATTTCTAATCAAACTGTGCTTTTCCAAATAATCATAAATACCATATCTCGGAATCCTCTCCAATAATTTGACCACCACAGAAGTAAGACTGACCAGTCTGTAATTTCCAGGATTATCCCCATTCCCTGTCTTGAATGAGAGAATGACATTTGCCACCCTCCAATCTTCTGGTACTACCCCAATGGACAGTGAGGACGCAAAGAACATTGCCAAAGGGGCAGCAATCTCTTCCCTCACTTCCCGTAGCAACCTTGGGTATATACCGTCTGGCCCAGGGGACTTATCTATCCTCATGTTTTTCAAAATTTCTAGCACATCCTCCTTCCTAACATCAACTTGTTCGAGCATATCTGCCCGTTTCATGCTGGCCTCACAAACATCAAGGACCCTCTCACTGGTGAATACTGAAACAATGTAATCATTAAGGACCTCCCCTACTTCCTCTGACTCTGCACACAAGTTCCCTCCACTATCCCTGATTGGCCCTACCCTCACTCTGGCCATCCTCTTGTTCCTCACATAAGCATAGAACGCCTTGGGGTTTTCCTTGATCCTACCCGCCAAGGTTTTCTCATACCCCCTTCTAGCTCTCCTAAGTCCATTCTTCAGCTCCTTCCTGGCTACCTTGTAGACTTCTAGAGCCCTGTCCGATCCTTGCTTCCTCAACCTTAAGTAAGCTTCCTTCTTCCTCTTGACTAGGTGTTCCATACGTCTTGTCATCTAAGGTTCCTTCATCTTACCATCCTTTCCTTGCCTCAGTGGGACAAACCCATCCAGTACTTGTAGCAAGTGCTCCCTAAACAACCTACACAGTTTCTATCATGCATTTCCAAGAATATTTGATCCCAATTGGTGCTCCGTAGTTCTTCCCTAATAGCATTGTAATTCCCCCTCCCCCAATTAAATACTTTCCCATACCGTCTGCTCCTATCTCCCTCCATGACTATAGTAAAGGTCAGGGAGTTGTGATCACTATCACCAAAATGCTCTCCCACTGAGAGATCTGACACCTGGCCTGGTTCGTTGCCAAGTACCAAATCCAATATGGCCTCCCCTCTAGTCGGCCTATCTACATATTGACTCAGAAATCCTTCCTGGACACACCTGACAAAATCTGCTCCATCCAAACTATTTGCACTTAGGAGGTTCCTGTCTATATTGGGGAAGTTGAAGTCACCCATGACAACAACCCTATTACTTCTGCACCTTTCCAAAATCCGTCTCCCAATCTGTTCCTCGGTGTCTCTGTTGCTACTGGGGGGAAAACTCCCAATAAAGTGACTGCTCCTTTCCTGTTTCTGACTTCCACCCATACTGACTTAGTGGACAAACCCTCGTCCACAACCTCCCTTTCTGCAGCTGTGATACCAGCCCTGATTAGCAATGCCACGTCCCCTCTTTTACCTTCTTCCCTATTTCTTTTGAAACATTTATACTCCAGAACATCCAACAACCATTCCTGCCCCTGTGTTATCCAAGTCTCCGTAATGGCCACAACATCGTAGTTCCAAGTGCTGATCCGTGCTCTAAGTTTGTCACTCTTATTCCTGACACTTCTTGCATTGAAGTAGACACACCTCAACCCATCGCACTGACTGCCACTTTGCCCTATCAACTGCTTATCCTTCCTCTCAGATTCTCTGCTTGCTTTATCTGCCTGTACACTGGCTACCCCATCCTCTGATCTGTAGCTCCAGTTCCCATCCCCCTGCCAAACTAGTTTAAACCCTTGTTCTAGAATTTCCCAGCAAGGGAGTGGATCTTGAACAATGGGGTGATATAGCCCAGGATTTTGCAGCATGGTGAAAATGTTCGGGGAATTTTGTGTGGACCAGGACCTTTATTTATACATTCATTCATGGGGCATGGACGTTGTTAGCTGGCCAGCATTATTGGCTGTTCCTAATTGTACTTGAAAAGGTGGTGGTGAGCTGCCTTCTTGAACCACAGCAGTCCATGTGCTGTTAGTCGACCACCTATGCTCTTTGGGAGGGAATGCAAGGATTTTGACCCAGTGACAGTAATGGAACAACAATATATTTCCAAGTCAGGGTGGTCTCTTGGAGGAGAACTTGCAAGTGTTTGTGTTCCCACGTATTTGCCGCCTTTATCCTGCTAGATGAAAATGAGTGTGGGTTTGGAAGGTGCTGCTGAAGGATCTTAGGTAAATTTCTACAGCACACCTTGTAAATAGAACATGCTTCTGCTACGGATCATCATTGATGGAGAGCATGGATGCTTGTGGATGTGGTGCTAATCAACCAGATTGCTTTGTTCTTGATGATGTCAAGCTTCTTGCCTGTTGTTGGAGCTCCACTTGACAACTTTGCAGTAGAAAACTAGCTAAGTAGTTCTAGCAGAAAACTGCAACATTATTGGGGGGGAGGGCTCACTGTACAAATATTTTCACTGTGAATACATTTGATTCTCTTTCTTCTTTTAAGGTAAGGTCAGAAATCAGAAGAGGCTACACTCCAAAAGCTTGTGATTTCAACTAAACCTGTTGGGCTATAACTTGATATCGTCTGATTTCTGATCTTCTCCACCCCAGTCCAACACCAGTGCATCCACATCATTCCTTTAAGGCAAATCTTTGACATTCTTATTTCCTGTTCCTCTCCTCACTGTTCACTCACACATCTTTATCCTAACATGCTAAATAGAATATACTAGCATTCTACCTCCATTCTATCAGTTTTTTGGCAGGCCAGTTAGGTTAAAATTGTACTTTATTTCTATAATTCTCCCTAATTCAGCCTTGTTTGTAATAAAAAGCAGCTATTGATGACAGTTGAATCATCAAAACATTGTGCTGAGAAGTTTCAAAGTGCATTTTGTGGCTTATTGTATAGTAAATTGAAAATCCCATTCATAATTAAGGCTGCAGCCTTAGGGCTTCAATTTGAACTCCACCACTTAGCTAGTGAAATTCATACATGTACAGACATGTAACACATGCTGAGAATTATAGGCACTGGTGCTTGATTAAAGTTGCAGTTAAATCTCTTCATCTGATGGAATAATAGCTGTGGGAAGATTATAATCTTAAATGCTTAGGCTTCTGACACAGACACAAATGGAAAATGGCCTTCATACACTTTAATATAGATAATGTTATTGTATAAGCTAGTGTAATAACGTCCTTGCCGATTTTGCAATTTATGAAATTATAAATGTTATTTTCAAGTTCCTTAACTCGTGCACATTCATATGGCATAGAATAGATTTTCAAATAATATCTTGAGTGACTGCATGCAGAGAACTTGTCCTTGATTCACTGCTTGCATACATAGCTGGCTGTTCCTAGCTGGCAGGTTTCCAGCCACCTTTTCACTTTTTGTTTCTTACTAATAGCGTTCTGATTAATCACTATTTTGAGTCAATGAAATATAAGCCTCACATGATTTTTGATGCAGAAAGCATTAACTAATCTGCAAGAAATAAATGCAGTCACATTTCTGACGTGTAGTTCACTGTTGTAATGTAGGAAACACAGCAGCTGTTTTAAGTCAACAAATTCTCTTAGAAGTGCAAGCTTTTTTTTAAATTCCTTCAAAGGATGTGGGCAATGTTGGCTAGCCAGCATTTATTGTCCATCCCTAGTTGCTTAGAGGGCAGTTAAGAATCATCCACATTGCTACAGGTCTGAAGTCACATTTAGACCAGACCAGGTAAGGATGGCCAATTTCCTTCCCTAAGGACATTAGTGAATCAGACAATTGACATCCTTTGACAATCTTCCTCACTAACTACAGCTCCGCCAATTTTGGTGTCATCTGCTTGTTGCACTCAAAGATCAACCTAGATTTTTGTGCTCAAGTTCTAGACTGGGTCTTGAATTTACAACCATCCAGCTCTGAGATGACAGTCTTATCCATTGTGCTGCAGCTGACCCTGGACAGGGAAATTGGAAACAAGCAAATGTGATCTCCATATTCCAAAACAGTGATAAAACAACAAGCCTAACAATTTTACTTCCGTTTCAAGTTAAACTGTGGAATTAATTATTAGGGGTAGACTTGAACATACTATCAAAAAGAGGGGCTGCTTGGCCTGCTGTGTTCATCCAGCTCTACACCTTGTTATCTCGGACTATTATCCACGATGAGCCTCTTTTACTTACTTGAGGAAGTGACAATGCAGGTTGACTCTAGTATACCCTTCGGCATTGATTAAGTTAGAGATCCAAAACTATTTTTATTATAACTTTCACTTGAGCAGTTACTAAGTTCAAACAGAACTGTTGTAGAACTGTTTGTAGAAGTTGAGGGAAACATTTACATATGAAGGTTAAAAAAGCACATGTACTAGGAAGTGGTACAATGTTTGAATGAGCGTGTACTGGGTCATGTACACAGTCAAGAATTCCAAGGTTTATTGTTTGGAACATTTCTGTTTCCAATTTATCATCTCGAAAGCTTAGATTCAGAAAATTTTCACATGATTGCAATTAATTATTTTGTTTACTTCCGAGCTAGGAGCACAAACAGCAAGAAAATTTCAGACCTCCATTTCACCCCGCCCCATCCCACCAATGGTCCCCTGCCAATTCATTCCATACTAAAGTTAACTAACTGTTAAAGGCTGTTCTCTCATCCACTCAACACTCCTTGAGAGCTCAGATAGAACTTAACTTGGATTGTGTTAATGAGGCCCACATAATGAACCAACTTTCACATTAAAATACCTATAAGCCTTTGGTAACTATAAGTAGGTTATTAATAGTTTTTGTGGTAGGCATCAGTTCCTCTTCCAGGTATGCAGCTGAATTTCATGTTTGTCCCAAAATGATCAGTTTCATTTAGATGGACTATCGGAGTGTGAATGAAAAATATGCTCCCAGTGCAAGCGAAAGGATGCGTTTCTTCATCCTGTAATAGAAGTACAGAGCTTCTTTGAATTTCAATCATTTCCAACTAAATTTCATGTTTAAATTAGCAATTGTTTTCATCAATCATGAACTATTTAGCTGTAGTTTAAAAATAAAAAACAACAGACTTGCAAATCCTGGCACAGTTTTAACTGGCCCTGTATCCGGTGTACCACATTACAATGTAGACATTCATCAATTATTTCTTTTTGTTAAATTTAAGCTACTTGCATGAAGTGTGACTGAACAACTCATATTCTAGAAAAAAAGTCAGTGCTTATAAGTAGTTTTTTTTTCCAATAGATCAATTTAACTGATTAAGCTTAAAATTGGCCTAATATGAAATTCAGACTAAAGGACATTAGAAGTGTTTTATTGTTTAATATGCTATATCTAAGATAACATGGTGCATATAGAAGCAATATTGCCTTTTGTAATGCTTCAATCACACACTAATTTTCAAACAATGGACATCCATATCACTTCTTAAAAGTACTGCCCAAAAGCAGGTCTGACAGCCATGTTAAAGAAAAGCACGGGCTAGGTTTCTGTACTTAATAATTACTACTTATTAAAAATAAATAGATTCTAGCTACAGTTAAACAATAATGAACTGTCAACATGTAACTCTACTGGTTAAAATTCTGACCCTCTTATAAAATTTCCCCTACACACATTTGCAGACAGGCACACATACAAAAATTGCTATAATGGGTATGGAGAAAAACTGGCAAAGCAGTTCAATGGTCCCTGTCCACAGGGTTTGCTGAGATGATCCTTTAGCTGTTCTTCCATTTCTCTCCTCCAGGTACTTTCATTTGCCTGGAGGAAGCACAGAGCAACTGGTTCACAACATGTAAAACTTCTGACTTATTAGTTAAAAACCATAGTGTGCAGCAAAGGCTGAGGTAAAATTACCTGATTTTCTTTAGGCTTTAGGTCTTTTTACTGCTCAGAAAAGACAGCACCTCCCTTTCTGGAAGTTCAAAGGTATCTGGCTATCTCATTGATACGCCAAGCTGTTCAGCTACCAGGGAGCTAATTAAATAGTTGTTGGCAGGCAGAAGGCCTTTGACATTGGTTGTGGAGTGGTGACCTGATGCCAATCAGCTACTTGTTGCCTGCCTAATCTCACTTCATACACAGTTTGTTGAGAGTAACCTCTCCCAACCGGTTGAATTAACAACAGTGCACCTACAGTAAGTCTGGTAGATTTTTTTAAAGAAGTCCAACAACCCTTTCCACCATCCTTTTTTTTTTAAAAAACAGAACTTTTCCCATTTTAGTCTACAAAAAAATTAAAAGCAAATACAGTTTTTAATAAGGGTTCTTGCCAGCTGTCTAGCAAGCAGGAGGGATCCCAGTCAACTGGATTAATTCCACCTGGAGTGTATTATCATGCAGTTTTTTTCAAACTTTTTAATTGGACAAAGATCTCTTTTGCTGTTTCCTGTTATTGAGGTTGTTGAAAAATTAAATGGTTTCCGATCCTTTTTAATGAATTTGAATTCTGATCTTAATTATCATATTACCAATATTGTAACGGTTCTCTTAAAGTCAAATGTTACCAGTGGTGACGTCAAATTGGTCTTAGCTTACACTGTATGTGGGATTTAAATAATTTGTTAAAAACAATGTGGAAGATTAATGTGAATTATTAGGTTGGGATTTCATAGAATCCCTACAGTGTGGAAGCAGGCCATTTGGCCCATCGAGTCTCCAGTGACCCTCCGAAAAGTATCCCACACAGACCCATCTCCCTACCCTATCCTTGTAACCCTGCATTTCCCATGGTCAATCCACCTAAGCTGCACATCTTTGGAATGTGGGAGCAAACCGGAGCACCTAGAGGAAACCCACTCAGACACAGGGAGAATGTGCAAACTCCACACAATCGCCCGAGGGTGGGATCGAACCAGGTCCCATTGTGCTGTGAGGCAGCAGTGCTGACCACTGAGCCACCATGAATACATTTTACTCCCTTCCTGTGGTGACTGTATATCTTCACGTGGCTCAAATGTAATTAAGACTATATCTGTCTCAAACGAAAATTCAAGGAGGCTGAGCTTGAAGGACAGTATGAATGATATTAAAATAATTAGAAAGCTTATTGAAAATAAATTCTACTCAGATAGCTTGCCACTCTTTTAAGGGAGTAATTTTTTCGTGAATAGTTAACAATTATTCTTCTCTTCCAAAACACAGAACTTTCCCTCACTGATACCCACATGGGATCACCAATAAAGGAGGTGTCAAAATTTATGCAATCTGACATAATAGACAATCTATTTATACATTTTAAAATGGAATGCTGGTTTGAGGACGTTGCCAAAAGAACCAATGGTAGCCAATTCCTTATGAAAAGGGGCGGCTCAGTGGTTAGCACTGCTGCCTCACAGCACTAGGGACCTGGGTTTGATTCCAGTCTCAGGTGATTATCTGTGTGGAGTATGCACATTTTCCCTGTGTCTGCATGGTTTTCTACCAGGTGCTCCAGTTTCCTCCCTACATGAGCAGGTTGGGTAGATTGGCTGTAGGAAATTACACTTTGTATCCAGGGATGTGCTGGCAAGGTGGGTTAGCCATGGAAAATGCAGGTTACAGGTACAGTGTAGGGGGTGTGGGCCTGGGTGGGATGCTCAATGGGCCAAATGGCCTATTTCCCCATTGTCAGGAAAGTATGATACATGTTCATAATACAAATGAGGTAGTGGATTACATTTACTTGAAGATCTCATGAGTTTATTACAAATGAAACTAATACATATAGTACAAAGTGATCTCTAGATACATCCTTGATCTAGAGTGCAGCAATGCAGTGACTGTGGCCTGTGGTCACACAATGACATGCTGGCCCTTGACCTATCTGCATATCAAGCTTTTAAATCAACACCTTTCTTAAAGCAACAATACCACATTTCTTATATAACAAGGTGTGGAGCTGGAGGAACACAGCAGGCCAGAAATGAAGAAGGGTCCAGACCCGAAACGTCAGCTTTCCTACTTCTCTGATGCTGCCTGGCCTACTGTGTTCCTCCAGCTCCACACCTTGTTATCTCAGACTCCAGCATTGGCAGTTCCTACTATCTCTGAATACAACATCTCTTGTTTTTGAAAGATAACTTTATATGTTAAAGATGATAGCACATAATTGCTTCTGGGGAGAAAGATTGCAAAACTTAGAAATATAGTAAAATGTGTGAGCACAGAAGTGTAAGAGTCCATATATCATTTCAGTGGCTTGGCAACTGTTTCAGAACCTGTTATGGTATACCCTTCTGGAGATGTGGACTCAGCCTTAGCTGTTCTTGATTTGCAGGTGCATTCTCAATGTTTTGATTGTTGTTTTGGTGTTCTGTTACACTCCCATCATACAAGCATGTTTTTTAATGTCCGATTCGTGAATTAACCACTTCCTTAGCTTACTTCTGTTCCTCAACATTTCTCTATTGGTCATGATTTCACAACACCTAGGTTCCCACTGTGGGGTTTATGACTAACCTTTATCCTACATTTTGAGGTATTTTTGCACTTGCAAGCTGATCAGCATCTTCATCATCTCTTGTTGTGAAGAAGGGCATCTCTAGGAATATGTGTGGCTTGGCAAGATCATCTCATTTGTCTTCCACACGTAATCTTTGTCAGCAATGGTAACCTTATATATAGGTGCGGCTCGGAAGTATAAACATATCAACAAAAAAATCTTTTCAGAGATAGTAGGAACTGCAGATGCTGGAGAATCTGAGATAACAAGGTGTAGAGCTGGATGAACACAGCAGGCCAAGCAGCATCAGAGGAGCAGGAAGGCTGACGTTTCGGGCCTAGAGGTATAGGCCCGAAA